AAAAAATTTTCTCCCCCCCCCCCATTCCGAGAAATGAAAAAAAAAATTTCCCCCCCCCCCCCACAAATCTGAATAAAAATTTTCCCAAAAGAAAAAAAATCTCCCAGTCAAAAAAAATTCTCACATTCTCGTGCTATAATAATAGCCCACCCCTCCCCCATTCAGTTTCCGAAATATTCCTCATCATAAAAAAATTTAATTTCAAAATTTATGAGAGATACGAAAATTTTTATATTTCCTCTTCCAGCTCTCATATTTTTCTAAAAAAAAGTTCCATCAAAAAAATGACACCCCCCCATTACGAGATATAATTAAAAAAGAATTGAACTCCCCCCCCCCCCTCCAACGCCACGAATTGAAAAATTCCCCAAAAGAAAAAAAAATTCCCAGTAAAAAAAAATCTCACATCCTCATACTACAATAATAGCCCGCCCCTCCCCATTCGCACCGGCCGTATAAACACGCTGAAGTTGACAGACAACCAGATGCTGCTCTCATGCGTATCTCAAGGTGAGTGCAACGATGCTTTCGCCGGGCCAAGGTCGTCCGGGTGATCTTCCCCGCCTCGGTGATCCGTGAATAACCGGCAGCGCCCTCTTGATAACCGCCCCAACCCCGAGGATCCTGACACAAGAACCGGGCCGCCTCCTGGGTGAGTTCCTAAATCTATCAGAATGTGTTGGAATATAGCCAGAGGACATTAACTGTCACTGGCCGGTTTGTTTGAGTTGTTTCCTCGTCCTGAAGCCCCGAAATCCCGCCTGAATTCTCGTCGCCGCGGCTTGCGCCACCTGGTTCCGCTTGCGGACGAGAAATCCGCGGACTCCGGCCTGAATTTTCGTCGCCGACTTCTCCTCAAGTGAATTCTTCGTGTCCTGACGCTTCAGGGCTTTTTTACCACCGGTTATATCACGAATTCCGTTTTCCTCCTGCCGCGACGGCGGTCGGTTCTCCTTCAATTGCTTGCGGACGCGGTAGCCGCGGAAGTTCGCCTGAATCTTCGTTGCCGCTGAATTCGCCTTCATTGTCTCCGCTTCCAGTGGAGTATTCGACATGGACGGTGTCAGTCACTTGTTGTTGAATTGTCTTCGCTGGGAGAATTCGTGAAGCGCCACAGGAGAGAAATCGCGCGGAACGCAAGTACAGCACGTAACGCAAGTGCGGAGATCGCGCCGGTGAAATCGCTCCGGACACAACGAAAATCGCGTTTTCGGCCGGTTCTCACTCACTTCTTTATCCGGCAACTGATTTATTTACTTATTTAGTTGATCTAATTCTTCAGGATAATTGTTGATCGTCAACCAACTCTTTAATTTCATGAAACGCGAGTTTTCAATTAATTATTCTCGCGAGTTGTGCAATTTGAAGAGATTTATCACTTTGTTTTCCAATGAATTATTGATGATGTATTCTTTATTATCACTTGGCGAATGGGCGGTCGATTTGTTTGCAAGGAAATTGCTTCTTCACTGTTCGGGTCCGCCGTGGAAACTGATCCAACAGCCGCGTGCTCAACGGGATCTCTATCAAGTCTCCCGCGGCGTCTGCGCACTATCGATCAATTGGACGTTTTTTTTATTGTGACAGTTGCGGAGTTGGGGATTGAGAGGATTGTTTTATTCTGCGGGGTTACGTAGAGCCTCTGGGTGGGGGCACGTCATTGTTCGTTGCGCTGATCAAATCTATTTGACGTCATTATTAATTAAGACTAATTAACCATGCGAAAGGGGAAAACAATTTTTTTTCTGGAGGTGTTTGTTTTTGATATATATTTTTCAACTTTGTTCGTCAATTGAGGGATCACAGCGATGATCTTTCATGGTTAAAATATTTTAATAGCGATTATTTAGTTTAGGATGGAGAATTTAGTTTAACTGGAAAGATCTCACTAAATCTCTGATATCTTGGGATAAAATGATCCGATTCGAATAAATGAGGACTCATTTTAAAGGTTTATAAATTACCTTCAAAATGGCGGCGGATTTTTTCCATTTCACTCTGCCGATCCCGAGATATTTACAACTGAAAATGACCCTCTCCCCCCAGCTCTTCCTTCTCTTCATTTCCATCATCTCATAAACATCTCCATGGTTTTTTAAATAAATAATTACGAGGTTACCATCATGATCATGGTAGGAACAACAATCCCGCCCTTGACCCATATCAAACATCCGCCTGGAAATTATTTACATCAAGAATTTGTTTTCTTAAAAACGAATAAATCCCAAAAAGTAGTTCTATTTGTTCATCTGTTGACTCTCCTCTCCAGCCATCTCGCAATTTCCACAGTATGACGTGCGTAATTCTCACTCCATGTGCCTGAAATGAGGACGCACCGAACCCCAAGTAAATTCCTCCGATCATTGAATCCCCCTCTCGACATTAACAAACCCATAAATTCATTGTCTTCAATAAACCCTGATTGTGTCTGATACGACAAATCGAAATTACATCCCACCATCGACACCCCCTCCTCCGAACATGAGATCCCTTCATGAACCTCTCAAAACGCTTCGCCAAAATAAATAACAAGTGGAAAATTGTTTTTAGATTAATATAGTGTAGATTTTTGCTAATAAATCGGCTTCTATATTATATAATTCATTGAAATTGTATTTTATCAAATTCAGTGGAATTTCTTCTTCAATCAATTCTGTTGATTTTGCCTTTGCTTTTGCTTCCGAATGGAAGCTTTGCAATCGTTCAAATTTCAGTTTTGGATTTTTTATGTTGCAATTTTTTTAATTTTCCATTTTTTTAGAAGATCGTTTGTTCCACAATAACTAAAAAAAATGTTCTGAATTGATTGAATGATGGGTTAAAAAATTTGTTTGGATGTCCTTTTGACGGAGTTCGAAGATGAAGGCGATAGCAATAATAATTATTTTGATTTATTTGAAAATTTGCAAAAATTTTGTACTGAAAAGAAATCTTTTTCAATTTAATAAAATGAAATAAACAATGAATTATATATGATAGAAGGAAATAATGTGCAAAATAACCATTCGTAAGCAAAAACGTTAATTTATTAGCAATTCCCCACTTATTTTCTTGTTATTAGTTATGGTGAGCCAAATTTAAAAATATAATATATGAATGAAATTTCCAGTCATGTCGATGCATCTTCGGACGTTTTGGACCATAATATGTTAACACAAAAAATCCAAAACTCAAACCTGAACGATAACAATGCGTCCACTCGGAAGCAAAAAATCCCAAAATCTCCCAAATGAAAAGTCGCATTCTCTCTATAAATACTTGCTGACACCACTGAAAAACAAAAAAGAAATCAACAAACATGAGACATCATTAGTCACTGCCTCCAATGATGAATGAAAAACTCCAGAAATAAATTGCGAGGAATCAATAACTCCTGAAAAAAATTATCTCTAAAAATAGACGTAAACGTCGAGGCAACCAAAAGGGAGAAATAACCGCCAGCAATCACTCGTTGCGATAATCACGGTTGATCCTCGCGTATGTCATCACTGTTCTATTACTCCACCTACGCACGCGGAGATGATTACACTCTGCACTTTACGATCATCTCCGCACGAGTTACCCCCCCCCTCCCTCTCTCCCGCCCCGCCGTCCCCCTGGACGTTGAAAAAATAAAAATGTTAAATCTGCTGAGTTTTACGTATCCTCCCCTCGTTATAATATTAAACAGAGAGGGACTATTAATAAACCCCTCGCACACGAATGGGTGCGTCACTCGTTGGGCCGTTAATATCCATTGTAAACTCTGTTTGCCAGTGACCCTGACGACATTCTGTGTATGCCCAGACCACCGAGTCAACTATCCATTCATCCATAATTGGTTCGATGATTTTTTTTCACTCCAGTGTTTGTCAGTTTTCCGATGCAATTGTGTGAGTCAATGTTTTCTGGCCTTTGTCGCATGCTTCAATGACACTTCTCCCCCTGAGGTGCTATTTCGAGGCTTCATGAGGGTCTTGAGTCATTGTGACGGAGTCAACTACGTCACAGTGAATGTTGATGACGTCATGGTTCACCCACGTGTGGTTTTCAATGTTCATGGGGGATTTTGTTCTTGGATGGTATCTGTTGTTTGTGATTATCTGGGGATTGAAGGGAGATTTTTGCTGGAAGTTGTTGTGGAAGTTAATGTGCGAGCTGGGGGAGACCCTTTTTTCGGTTTTTAATTGAGGAAGTTAACTTTAGGGACCCGTAAGACCATTTGACCTTCAAACAGTTTTAGAGGTCATCTGACCCTCACGACCATTCGACTGTTAACCCTAAACGTTCTCAAGGGTTGTTTGACCCTCAAGACCGTTTGACCTGTAGATCTAATCGTTGCCGAGCGTGGTTCGACCGTCAAGACCATTTGACCCTTGGAATATCCTTAAGGGTCAATTGACCCTTAACTCCAAAGATCGTTAAGAGTCGTTTGACTCTCAAGATCATTTAACCATCAAAACTAATTATTCTCGAGAATTGTCTGACTCTCATGACCATTTGATTCTCAATTGTAAGCATCCGTAAGGGTCGTTTAACCCTCAAGACCAGTTAACCCTCAACGTCAAATATGCTTAAGAGTCATTTGGCTCTCAAAGACCATTTAACCCTTAAACTTAATAATTCACGAGGGTTTTTTGACCCGTATGACCAGTTGATCCTCAATTACAAGCATCCGTAAGGGTCGTTTAACCCTCAAGACCAGGTAGCCCTCAACGTCAAATATGCTTAAGAGTCATTTGGCTTTCAAAGAGAATTTAGCCCTGAAACTAAATAATTCACGAGGGTTTTTTGACCCGTATGACCAATTGATCCACAACTACAAATATCCGTAAGGGGTATATGACCCTTAAGACTAGTTAACCCTCAACTTCAGACATTCTTAATGGTCGTTCGGCTCTCAAAACCATTTGACCCTTGAACCTCATCGTTCTCGAAGATTGTTTGACCCTCATGACCATTTGATCCTCAATTGCAAACATCCATAAGGGTCGTTTGGCCCTCAAGACCACTTAACCCTCAACTAGAAATATGCGTAAGGGTCGTTTGGCTCTCAAAGACCATTTAGCCCTTAAACCTAATCCTTCTCGAGGGTTATTTGACGCTCACGACCATTTGATCCTCAATCCCAAACATCCGTAAGGATCGTTTGACCCTCAAGACCAATTAACCCTCAATTTCAAACACCTTTAAGGGTCATTTGACCTTCAACTAAATATAGTCATTTTTTTCTGATATTTCACTTTCGCCCGCTTTTCCTCAGATTCTGAGATATTTCCCAGAAACTAATTTGCTTCAAAATAAAATTGACACATGACACAGTCCCACAAATCTCTTCAGACAAATACCTAAATTTATTCTCCAACTGATGACGTCAAAACTACGCTCTTCATATTTACAAACTGATAAGAACGATTTGTGGACTTTTCGCACGCACCTCTGACGTCAGACCTGGTCGATAAATAATTATCCTCGATGCACATGATTGACGGTATTCCAAGGAGTCATTCAAGCGTGACCGAGACATCTAGGGCATTCCACCCTCCGGAATTTTCCGCTTACAAAATTACACATTGAGACTATTACCCACAGTCCAAATATTCCGCTCAACCGCGTTTCCCCAAAGAATTTCCTTCAGCAAATTTGTTTTCCTCCACAAATCGCTCGGTACAAGGTACCCTCAGAGATTGTTAAACTCCCAGAAATACGATGAACCATCGCCTGTTTAATAGACAAGTTATTTCATACATATGTCTAAGTCTTTTCTAGCTCAAATCCAAAAATATTCAGCCGGTATTTTCTATGATGCCTTAGTTGCCTAGTTTAGCGAGAAATTTTTGGCAACCATCAGTCATTAACTCATCTCAGATATTTTAACGAATTTACGTCAATATCCTAGGAATTTTTTTTTCTGTGGGTTAATTAATTGAGATCACGTCAATGATTATTTCACTACTCTTTTTTTTAATGAAAAATACTTTTTGGATTCCATTCATATTCTTTTTTTTGCCTCTTCTGTACTCCCTTGTGTCTCAAGACCCCTCCCCCTCATCATCTTCTCCAGAATCATCCTGGAGAAGTGATGCCCACTTCCTGGAACAATCTGCATCATCGTGATTCATCGACTCAAGTTCTTTCATATCTTTTTCCGGAATTGCTGGAACTTCTGGAGTCTCTGAGTCTCTCTCGCCTTCATCTCACTCAGAATTTTAGCTGCTTCCCTTCGCTTATCACTCTTTTTCTTGGACTCAATTCCATAAACTCTCTCGTATTTTCGCCAGAGGCGTCACTTCCAGGCGCCGCTGGAGGCTGGAAAAAGCTCTCAGCCGCTGGAGAAATTTCAGCATCTTTGCCTAGCTCTATTCACCTTCCTTTTTTGTCTCTTCGGCACTTCCTTGTGCTTCTAAAGACCCCTCTCCCTCCTTCTTATCTTCTCCAGTGATAATTTCTCCAGAGTCATCCTGGAGAAGTGATGCCCCCCTTCCTGGAACAATCTGCATCATCGTGATGGGAGACTCGATCCTTTCTCCTGCAAGTTGACTTTCTTGAGAGAGGCTCAACGACTTCATGGGGTCTCCAGGGGTCAGGGTCACCTCCAGCAAGGGTCTCCTGTCGTGCGAGGCCATGGAGTCTTCAGATTCATAACGCAGGAGTTTCCCCTCTTTCATGGGAAAGCCTAGGATGGCTAAAGGGGCTTCCAGTGCTCCAGCAATATCAATTCCAGGTTTCTCCAGGACTTCTCCAGATTCGTCCTCCAGGGGAGTCGATGTCTCCTCTTCCGCAGTTTCTGAAGCTTCCTTCGTCGCTTCAAGTTCTTCAATATCTTTTTCCGGAACTGCTGGAACTTCTGGAGTCTCCGGAGTCTCTTTCGCCTTCATTTCACTCAAAATTTTAGCTTCTTCTAAACTCGTAATCTCTTCGATTATCACTCCTTTTCTTGGACTCAATTCCACAAACTCTCTTGTACTTTCTCCAGAGGCGTCACTTCCAGGCGTCGCTGGAGGCTTGAAAAAGCCCGCAGCCGCTGGAGAACTCTCCGCATCTTCGACACTAGTTATAAAATTCAGGTATCCACTCTCGACTGCACTCTCGTCTTTAGCGAGAACTACTAGATCCACTAGTTTAGTGATCTTCGGGGGAAGACCGAACTGGAGAACTGGAACTCCTGCAGCTAACTCAAACATCATTCCCACGGTTTGCTTCGGGGTTCTGTCCCCTGCATTGGGCTCGTTTTGTGGGCATTCAGGGGTGAAGATCCTTGGGGCAAAGTCCAGCAGCGGGAGGGGAATGCAGTCATGAAATTCTCCAGTGTGACGTAAGCCATCTTCTCCGAAAGCTCGTTCCATGGAGATTGTGGTTCTCTGCATGGCGTCTTCTCGTCGCAGACGCTTCCGAGCTTTGTAACCCCGGAAGTTGCTCTGGATTGTTGTTGCTGCACCCTCCAGCTCCAGTAGGTCCTTCTCTGGAACATCCAGGTACTCCAGGGGGCGCTCGTCAATCTGGAAAAAATGAAAATGAAAGTGGGAGTCAATTAGTTCAGGAATTGAGTGGTTTTTGGAGAATATCTTTGGAATGAGTGGGTTTAGAGCCAAATCAATAAGAACCTTTTTTGGAGAAAATTTCATTTTCTCCAAAAAAGGTTCTTATTGATATCGTAGATTTGCGGATGGATTTTCCATAAATCGACATTTTGCGGATGGATTTTACAATCCAAATGGATCAATTCGAATTTGCTTGAAAATTTTTATATTTACGGATACGAAAATTAAATAAAACGTGTTCGGCACTAATTTTTTCTTTTTATTGTTCATGTTTTAAAAAAATGATTTTTATAAAAAAATAAAACGAAAAAAATTTTTTTTATAATTTTTAAAATGACATTTTATTTTTTATTAAAAAATGCAAATAATTAAGAACTAGTTCTAAAAATCACGAAAAAAAATGTTTTCTATTCATTTTCATAATGGAAAAAAATTGGATTGGAAAACCCATTTTAAAACTGTTCAAACTTGGCATTTGAAATTGTAAAATAATCTATTTGTCAATGACAATCACTCCCGGTATGTAAATACAACATCCGGTCTCTAGTTATCATCAGAACAAAGAAAGCATTCGGTGTATTCGAAGATTCGTCGTTACAGCTGACGACAACACGTGTCCAAAAATGACTTGAATGCAAGTGACGTGCAAAAATGACTGGTGAATGAGTCTGATCCATTCTGTACGTAAACTCCTGAATTGTGCAAGCGTGGGCTCGGTCCAAGGTTCCCCCAATTGCACAGCGGATCGAAATGCTCTGAATGCCCAATTGTTATCGCACTGTTTATTTTCATTGAGCTTCATCTCGATAAATTTTACGAGATATGAATTACGTAAAGCCGTTGATGGTTTGTTTTGGTTTTTGAGGTAATTGGAAACTGGGGCGATTGGCTCTAATTGTCGTGGGACGCATCGACGTGGCGTGTTAACAGTCAATGAGTGCATGAAATGCATCGTTACATGAATTCAAGTAATTAAGAAAAATTAAGGAATGATTGGCATTAGTCGGAGGTAATTAATTGAAATGAGAATAACTGACTCGAAAAATGAGTAGTGGGAATTATTCATTTACCGATCTCTGGAATTTCGCTTTTATCTCGATAACAAGTGATTTTATCAAAAATTATCTGTAAACCTTTTCTATCACTGAGGAAATTCCCGACAGAAAACGTCTTTTCACATTTCCTTCCGAATCCCCTCAATCTCGATATAAATCAACAATTAACATGTGACCAATGAATTACTCAATTTTTTACCACCTTTTCATCATCTAACAACACCGCAGTAATTCATAGAAATGATCCCGGAAAAAGGCTCTTGAAAGCCTCTTGACGATAAGAATATTCGTCATTTATTCCATTCAATCGTTTTTTCTACGCTTGAGGGGATCCTTACATGAACTCAAGTAATTAAGGAAATTTAAGGAATGAATGGAATTAATCGGAGGGAATTGATTGAATGAGAATAACTGACTCGAAGAATTGTTTTCATAAATTTCATGAATTGAAATTTTTAGTAATGAAAAACGAAAAATGATGAAAATGAATAGAAAATATTTTTTCACATTTTCCTCTCGATATGAATCAACAATTAACATGTGAACAATAAATTCAATGCTTTATTTTTCACCACATTTTCATCATCTATCGACACCGTAATAATTCCCAGAAGAGTTTTCCCGAAAAAAGGCATTTGAAAGACTCGTGACAGTCCGACAAAACCATTAGTTAACGTCGCGCGTGACTCGGAAGACAATTACAGGTAAAAATAAAAAATACTGAAAAATGAGACACAAGAATATTCGTCATTTACTCCATTCAATCGTTTTCCCTCCGCTTGAAGGAATTGCGTAATCGTTTTGACGGTCGTAGTAAAGCGTCAAGGTGCTGTCAACCCAGTGAAGACGAATCGTGCGCTTCTCTTGGAAGCAAGAACCTTGGCAGAGAATCGCACGAGATGTGCAATACATTACCTGAAAATAATTACAACTCAAACTCCACTTATTCTCTAGTACTTTTTGCTCTTTCACGTATGAGAGAATTTAATACGGTTTCTTCAAGGAATTCTATTGAATTTCTATTGGAATTTATGCAATTTTAGAGTGAAATTTTGGAAAGAAATATTTGAGAGAACAAAAATTCAATAGATTTTAATTTCTCTGCAGAAATTTTGGAGCATAAATTTTTCAATTTTATTTACGGTATTTTCATTTTTTTCTCTGAATGAAATGCAAGAAAAATTGGAATATAATTAGTGTAAAAAAGAATTAATAGAAAAATCTAAGGCTTTCTTCAAGGAATTGTATTGAATTCTTATTAAAATTCTATAAAAATTCGATTTATTTTTTTACGTCAATTTTATCAAAGATTATACAACTTTGTCGTGACATTTTGTTGAGATATTTGATAGAAAAAAAAATCAATAGATTTTCATTTTTCTTTAGAAATTCTTGGGCATAAATTTTCCAAGTCTTTTTTTACTGTATTTTCATTTTTTCTCCAAATGAAAAACAAGAAAAAAATTAAAAATTCACGCCCGCGAATTCTTAAAAAAAAATCCCAACAGAATAAGTTGTATAGAAAAATCAACATCTCAAGACTTTTTTCCATAAAAAATAGAATTCTTTTCAATAGGCCTAATGCAAAAAACAATTAATAGAAGAATGTAGCATTTTATCTAAAGAATTCTATTGAATTTCTATTCAAATTCTATAAAAAAATTCTGTTTTTTTTACTGTGACATTGTTTAAAAGATATTTTCTACTTTTCTAGAAAAATCATTTTCATTTCTTTCTCCTAATAAATTTTTTTTTTAGCTTAAAATAGAATTAAAGAAAAAACGTTCGAAAGAATTGACGCAAAAATTCTAACGTCATTGTTACACATTTCTAATATAGAAATTAAATCGAATTTCTTAAAAAAGCGGTAGGTTTTTCCACTCAATTTTTCCACACGTTTTAATTTTGAAAATTCCCGGGATTTTATCAATCTCGATAATCTCAATGTCATAACATAATGGTCAAGCCTCCCTCCCGTGGTATGAGGGGAATCCCCGGAATAAGGCGCTAATGGAGGGAGACTTAATGTTCAACAAATGACTGCGGAATGTTTTTGAAGGTCAGTGGGGGCAGATTCATAGCTCGAAATCGATCGCCAGTTATTATTTATTGCTTCCGGTGCTACTGGAATTTGTAATTCAATTTTGGGAAGTTATATTCTTACATCGGGTGGAAGTGGTTGGACGTTGTGGATGGAATTCAAAGTAGTGTGATCACGCATCACTTTTTGAAGACCAGAGCGAACGCGCGTGCTGATCTATCACCTCATTTACTTGTGAGCGGCTTCCTTTTCATTGAAATTTCAAATGTATTCAATTTCATTCGCTCAGAAATGCATTGCAAGAATGAATGATGAGTGAAAAATCAATGAACAATTTAAACTTTTCGAGCACTTCCAAATTTTGTAAGTTTTTTTTTTTGATTTTCTTGATGAAGAAAAGAGAAGAATAGAGTGAAAAAAATTGGAAAATTTGAGTCGAGAAAATTCTCTACTAAATATTTCAATAGGATAAGTTTCGTCAAAAAAACTTCGTTAAAAAATCCTGGGTAATTGTTTTTTTTTAGAGAGATTAAACAGTCCGATACAAAAATTATTGACAGCCTCACACCTTCATTTTATATAATTTATGTAACGGTGTCATGGATGAAAAGAGTCTAGTCAAACGAGAAACTATTGTTAAAAAAAATTTTTTTAAGAATTTGAATTCAATTTTTAGACTCAAAGCTAGAATTCCTTTAAAAAGCGAGAGGGCTACGCCCACTGCTCGCTCCGCCCGCCAACTCTCATATGACCCTCATCACCCTTATTTGGACCCTTAATCTGACCCTTGTCACCCTCATTTGGACGCTTAATCTCACCCGTATGACCTTTAAACTGACCCTTGTGGCCCTTAATCTGACCCTAGTGAGCCTTATTCTGATCCTCGTGACTTATTCTAACCTTCATGACCCATATTCTGACCCTCGTAGCCATGATTTTAACCCCCCTCACCCTTATTTTGACCCTTGTGACCCTTAATTTCGAGTACTAATTTTTATCACCAGAAATCGATTTGGATTTTTATAATGAAGAGATATCAATGACAAATAATTAACATTCACGTCTCTAACGAATTGCTAAACTAGGATAACTGCATTTTTTTCGAAAATGCGTTTTTTGGTTGAATCACTTCCCATCAATTTGTGGAATCGATTTAGCCAAAACAAATTTTTTCGAAAAATAGTATTTATCCCGCTTTACCAACTCACCACAGAAGTCGTACCAGTTAAAAATTTCATCATCGTTTAAACAACGAAAAGAATAAACTCATCAACATCTAACAATCCTTCATTCAAGTTAAATGGATAAATTAATGAAAACATTTACTATTCAACAAAATGTAAAAAATCGAGTTCTCCTCATTGCCTCACAATTTCCATTCAAATAACAAAAAATTCCTCAACACCAATTACCACAAAAATGCAATTATCGTGTCCTCCCCCCTTATTTTTCCATGACAAATCACCATAAACTTCAATAAATCACGCAATAAATAATTTCTCATGCACAAGATCATGATGCAACTCCTTGATTCAACAATATCCTGATTTCGAACGAGTCGCAAGCTGGTCGAGGGTTAAAAACCCGGATGTAGGCTATCGTCAGGTCTATCCATCCTCTCTCACTCTGCGTGGTAACATTCGATCAGTCTATTTCGAGAAGTAACGGCAAATCGCGTGTGCAAAAAGCGTTTTTGGCAATGAGTGAGGAGCGAAATGGATGTGTATGCGGTGCTGTGACACGAGGCCGTTGTCTACTAGAGAAGAGACACCCGTCGGAATCATTCGAGACATTCTGGGGCATAATGGGACATTAAGCCCAAATAAACAAAAACAAATTGAGAAATTTAAAAATTCATCTTCACTTTTTTATCGAATTTTTTCAGTTTTCTGTTTCAATTTTTAATTTTTGTGATTTCATTTTTCATTTCGTCTTTCATTTGGAGTCGAGGAAAATTGAATCTCATCAATTTCATCATCATATTTTTGCATCAGAAAATAGGCCGATGAGTCGATAAAAATTTGCCGAATTTTCAATGTTTTAAATAGAGTATCTGTTATTCTTGTTAGTTTAAATGGCGAAACGAGTTGGAAAGATTTGTTTCTCTGTTTAACTCATCTCAGCTGACAATTCTCGGCTGCATTCCGCTCATTCCCCATTTAAATTAACCCGATTGTTCAACTCCAATGGATTTGTTTTCCAAACGGTCCAATTTAAGAACCATTCCAAGAAGCCCAACGACCCCGGGGGATTATTGGACTGCTGTTCGGAGATTTCTCGGATGTTCTGAGGGGAGATTTTTAACGAGACGTGACAAAAGTGGATCACAATAAATCGGTCATAATTGAAAATCGATAGTTCCGTGATGTTCAATTATAAATCGACTTGATTATAAAACATGCAGAAGTTTTTTTTTTGATAAGAAAATTCATAACGGGAAATTTACTGTGACATTTCCCCCTAAAATCACTCATCATCATCAACGTAATTGAAATTTAATTAACAATAAAACGACTGCAATTTTATTTTCATCTTTTTCTATGTTTCGGGACAATTGTTGATCAATCAGTTAATTTATTTACTCTTCTTTGAGTATTTTAGTTAATATTCGAGGTCGACCCCATGTGCTTCCATTGCAAGTTGCACAATAAAATAATAAAAATAAAAATAATAAAAATAATTAGCTTCGCCACTTCTGCAATAATTAAATCTAATATTATTTTGTATTACTTTTTGTTCAGCTGTTATCAAATATCTTCTTCTTCAAACAATTTAAAACTGATCGCAAAGTTAATTTAGAAAAGGGAATAGACATTCTACTAAAATCGATCATAATTGAAAATCGATAGTTTATTGATTTTCCAGTATAAATTGGTTTGATGATAAAACGTTCGGAAGCTTTTTTTTAAATGATAAAATTCACGATAGGAAATTTCTTGTGACATTTCTCGCCTGACATCTCTCATTATCAAGATAATTAAATCTTGAAGGCATTTGTAACGTTGAAAGGAACCACAATTTAATTTTTCGTCTCTTTTCACAAGTTCCGGACCAATTGTCGACTAGTCCGTTGATTTATTTACTCTGTTTCGAGTATTTTTAATTATATTCGAGGTCGGCCCCATGTGCTCCCATTGCACGTTAACTAACAATAAAATAATATAAATAATTCCCTTGACTACTTCCGCCATAATTGAATTTAATATTCCTATTATTTTATTTCAAATAATTTAAAACTACTCTGAAAGTGGATTTAGAACAGGGACTAGAAATTATAATCAAATTTCCTAATGGAAATCCTATGGAAATTTTAGCATCAGGATTAAGTTTCGCTACAAAATTTGTATTAGATTATTTTTTCCGATTAAAATGTAAGAACTGCCGGCTTCTATCGTCAAGTCAATCAGGAAGATTAATATGAACCTAATCATTCCTCATTAATTCACTCCTGCCTTGAGAATTAATCCCAAATGATCATTCACAGACAAATAAACTGCGCCGTTCATGTTAATAATCTTCATAGAAATCCAAGTCATTAGATTTCCATTAGAGATTACTCCCACGCACCCCCCCCCCCCCCCCCCCCCCCCC